GGCCACGACGGCCTTCGTGTTTCCCCATTGCTGGGGACCGCTTTCATTTCGTAAAGGCTTCTAGGTGTTGTGCTTTGTGTGTCCGCATGTTGAAGAAGCAGAGTGACCAGGTGAATTCCCTTTGGAGATGAGGTTGTTCCCTTCCAAATTCTTCCCGAACAGCACACTCAAGAGCCAACAATGTGGGATTGTCGGAAGCATGTCGCCTCACATTGACTGGGATCCAGGACAGCCTAAGACAAACAAAAGCTCCTCGCCCTCCTTAAGCACACCAAATGGGTCATCCGACAGGCACCTTGCTGTCTTCTCAGGGTCTTAGAGCTTCTCCTGGTCGACCTTAATTAAGAGGATTGAGAGGCTGACTATAGCTGCACCCCCATTGAAAGTGAATTCCCAACTTTGGCAAAGTGTTCACGGGGTACCGGACTTGTGCCCTATACCCCTCAATAACACAGATGGATGCTGCAGGAATGCTTGGCAATCAAAGCGCATGATAACCATCATTGCCCTGTTGGTGTTTGAAATGCTTCATCTCATCTATCCTGAAACTGCTGGCACTAGGACCAGCACTGGGCACAGTACTGCACACAATCAAAGACTGTTCGGCTCGAAAGCCGGGATAATGTCGTACTTTGCAGTGGTGAAGCGTCAACTTCCATGTGGATACGGGATACCAGTGTATAAAGCTGTGGACTTGTTGAGAGGTCACACTTCCGCTCGGCCTGAGGAACGCTGAATTCATTGGCGGCTGTGATATTGCCGCTCGACCGTGGTCCAACTGTGCTGGTGAGCAGTTTGTACTCCTTGCCTTGCAAAGCACACTATGCGTGGGTTAAAACCAGGTGCATGATTTCGACATCCCAAAGAGTAAAGAACAGACCTGAGATGTGCAACATTGCGATTTTCCTTCCAATGTGGTGAAAAGGGCGCAATACTACAATATGTGCTAGCAACATTCCTTGCTGTCATCAAGTGGTCTTTTTCAGATTGACTGCAAAACACCGCTGAACATGTGTGTTTGTTGTGACCAGCACTTTGCCCGTTGGAGGTTATGCAAATGCACAAAGATGGTGAGCTGAAAGATATCCTTCCAAAGGTTGAGGCGAAGAGCAGTGAATGAGCGAGCAATCCTGAGGGAGCTAGTTGGCATTTGAGTGACGGGCAGCTCGAATCCTTCGATGTGTATTGGCACCGGAGCTATGCACTTCGGACGGCGACAGTTAGAGCTTTAGATCATCTCAAGACATACTGTAGACTGTAGACGGTGGTTTGGCTTGGTCACTTCAACCTGTACATGGTGCTGCTGAATCTTGCTGACTCTTAGAAGTCTCAGCAAGCAACCAAAAGAAACCATCACGCCACCTCACTTGAACCCTAGGGTGTCCAGGGGGGTGCTTCAATCATCAGGCCTCTTCAGCCGACAGTCAACCCCGGTGGCAACTAGGCGCCATAGCCTTTCCATGGATGTCAATTGATCGGGTGGATTGTGCAAAAAAAAACGCAGGTTTGGGGCACCTTTTGTTTCATGTGGGCCTTGTACTGCAGCTGGTTTGGGTGCTTGCTGCATAGCTGTCGCTTTCCTAGTGTGAACAAAGCGTGCAGTCTTATCTGAGTAGTACGGATCGCGAGTGAGTTCATATACCAATCTTGCCCAAGTTTCTTCGTAGAGCGATGCCCTGTGGGCTATTTGATAAGGTCGGTCTGCCGGTTTGGCCGCGGATGGGTACCCATGATCAAAGTAATATTTGAGCGCGTCACGAGGGGTATGTTCTTCATGCTGGATCCGCAAAGGCAGCCTGAAGAAATGCGAGGGGTCAAACAGCTGGATGGTAATGAATTGAGGACGATTTGGATGCCCAAACGAGATGTAAAAGAAGAATGTTGATGCAGTTGCTGGTCAGATTTTCAGTGCTATGTTACGATGTTGTTTCTTGATGCCCATAATACTGGTAAATGCTTGTAGGTTCACTTCCTCCAGACATGGTTGCACGTCACTTCAAGCGCCAGCTGGCAGCTGCGCACCACAGAAAGGTGTGAAATGCGCCTTCAAGACCCGGACAGAACGAAGAAACGTGATGCAAGCGGGTGAGGGCAGCAACTGTGATCCACCCAAGTACTGCCTGTATATTGCAATATATGTTTATATTTATAAGTAGTAGTAACAAGAAGCTAGTAGAAACAAGTGCCACGCTAGTAGTAACAGGTGCCTTACTAGTAGTAACAAGAAGCTATTAAGGTCGACTCACTGGTTCAGATCCTCCACAGCCCGACAAGTCCCCTGACCGAGTTTCGATTCCAAGCTATGGGACTAACAGGAGCGCCCCTAGTAGCGTTCTTGCTCCTAGTAGCGATGCCCTTTGCTCCTAACCGCTGATTGTTCCTAGTAGTGATGCCAGGAGCTACTAGTAGCGTCCTCTTTTGTGATACCTTTGTGGAATTGAGTCGCCTGGTTTGTGCCCCTCACGTTCGCTAGCCTTTTGGAGACTTCACAGGCGTGTCAATGGTACACCAGGTCCACCAGGTCTGGTGTCCAAAGACCTTGAACACCCTCCAGAGGCTGGATGGCGAGGTCTTGTGTATATGTAAATATATAGATATTTTGTATATTATATATATATACTATTTATTTGGTAGTCTATTAAAATAGTATCATAATACTATCTAACCAAAGATTTATCAATATACATGATAGAGAAAATGGTGAACGAGTTCCTGAGCCAATGAAACCCATTTGAAACCTTCGACGCCACAAGCGAGAGAAACTGCATGAACAGTATCAACCAATGCTCGCGCAACATGAACTCTGAGGTCCTACCTATGAAGACATCAAGAGCCTGCATCTCAGGGCTGGATTTGAAGCTTTTGCATAAATAGCTGAATGAAAAATCATCCTTAAACCCTCCCTCGAACCTATGACATCTATGACGAGGTATCGTCAAGCATTATCGTTTACCAGCACACTCTTGTTGAAGACGTGCGTTGTGCGTCGAAGACGTCCGAGAAATGGAGCTGCTGCGGCTTTGCTTCACCGAGTCCCTTCGCATGCACCTCGCCGTTTGGGGAGATGGGTGAAGTCCTTGTGAAGACTCCTACGCCTACGCCTCCATGAGAAAGACATCAACTTAGAACTTTGAATCAATGAAATGCAAAGTTGTTTGAAGCAAATGTCCTGATTCAGCAGTTCCTAAAGAGCATGCACGAGCCAATGAGCATCAGGCTTTGCTAACCGTCAACCCCCTCTAACAACCTTGGCCCGCTTGACAGAACCCCTGAACAATTGATTAGCAGTGCAGGTTTCTTACAGCATTTATGTAGATCAAGCCTCGGCAAAGGGCAAGGCACAAGCAAAGGATCATGGTTTTCCTCCAGATACGCTGGCTGGAGTCTGGGAACATATCTACTATGCTGTACAGGCGAGCAAGAACAGTCACACCTTCCAAGGAAATCTCAACATATTGCAGAACCTGTTGCTCCACACATGTTTCATTTCTTTACTGTGCTATTTGATTCCAAATTTCCTCGAGTTGTGAGAAGCTTGCTAAGCTGCATGCAGCAGGGCGAAGGTTCGCCATTTTGGAATTTAATGTTTCCCTTCAGAAGCTGTGAGTAATGTATATAAAGGGGTACAGCCCTCTTGAGTCACACCGGCCGGGGCACGCAGCCAGGTATCCAGAGCCTCCGCTGCTCATTCGCCGAGCCTTGGATGAAGACACTTTGCCGGCCAGGGGGTCCCAGTTGCCAAGGCACGTGGAAGATCGTGGAGGTAAAATCTGGAGGTGTGGGCCAGATGGTCTTTAGTTAGTTGGAGCTTTTGATTAGCAACTGCCTCCGAGCCTCGGTTTGAAGCCATCAATTCAATAGTCCAATGATCCAATGAACAGAGGCTTCAATTGCCTTCGTCCGCTCCGCTAAACTACCATGGCTAGTACGGGGCCAAAGACCTGTATGCGGACCCCCCCCCTTGTCACTTCGTAGGAAACATTTGGTCTAAGGACCCACGAGAGGTCATTTGACGACGTGTGCCTTTGACCATAGACAGCTTGCCCAGCTATATACTCTTGCGAACGTCTTCCTGGATTCGCTTGACGCTCTTGGTCCCACTTCAGGCTGGCGCAACGAAAGAGGAGACAAAAGTCTTGAGAGGCATGGACTTCTTTGCAGGAAGCTCAGCGTGATATGGCATTCATGTTGGCATGGGCATGTTGGCATGAGACCGTGCAAGACGAGGGTTTCTTCGCGAGCAGGAGAAACCTGCCACACCCAGGTGTCAATCTACAACCTGCATAGAGATGAGAAGTGCCCTCCCAACTGTTAAGTTATAGTGGCCGAGTCGGTTAGTCCCCTTGTTACACCATCACCCCCAGATGCAGCAAAAGTGGCAGTCCGCTGCCTGGGTATCCCTTCATCAGGAGCATGTTCCAATATTGATTGATCCACAACACAAGCTCAAAACACACAAGAAGCAGCAGCACTGCATCAGCCTAGACAAACCAAATGCAAACAACCCAACATACTTTCCTCATTTCTCGGGTAACCAGTAACCAGGACTGTTTTCCATTTTTGATCGTATCCTGAATGACCTCTATGATTATATAAGTCTATATACATTGTCTGGCCATAACAATTTGTGCCCCTCCACATGCACAAAAGCAGCATGTTCCTCGGTCGGTGTGTAAACGGTAGTGCTTCCATGCTCCTTTGGGATGATCTTGCGCAGGTACTGGCCCAACGCCAACACGTATGACCCAGACCGCTTCAAGCGAAAGCGCCCCGAGCAGGTTGTGCTTGTGTAATGGGGCCTGTGTGGGGTGAAAGATGGAGAGCTGTGCAGAACTAGCGCGTCACGCAAGTCTAGCAAAGCCAAGATAGCCGCCACAATGTCCACTTCATAGCGCATTTGTCTTATGCCGTTTGCATCCGTTTACTAAAGGTTGCCGTGAATGTGGCGCATCAACTTTCTCAACTTTTGAGGAGCATCGTGCTCCAACAATTGTAGTTGTTAATCTCTTTGGTGATTATATAAACCCATGCCTTGAAGAGTGTTAGGGGTAGCAATGCCAACACAAAAGCATGCTTGCAGACAGGAAAATAGCACTATCAGACGCTTGACAGGTAAAGTCGCCCACAGAGCGTGGCAATTGTGGCTCAAGAGCATTGAGCATACTATCTCACCGAGGAGTTTTACAATGAGGTTTGACGGCCTGGTTTGAGCGGTTGGGAGGGAGGGCTTAGTGAGATTGATATGCATCGAAATGTGCGGAGCGGTTTATGCCTAAACTGGACGTTGCTGGATGATTTAGGCTGCAAGTATCCGCAAATGGACTTCTCGTACAAATCGCAAGCTGTGAAACCTATGACATGATGCACAAAGCGGGCAAAAGTAAGATCAGATGTGGAATTTGCAGCCCATCGTCGGATGTTTGGGTCGATAGCTGCCCCGAGCCGATGCGAACGAGTGGGAATCTCAGTTGAGATCGATTGCGAATTTGATTCGGCCAACTTTGGGAGTTGGCTGTTTGCAAAGTGGAGGGTGTCAATTGCTGAACGCCGCCAGCCCCTATGCCTGAAGACACAACGGTTGAACAGACGCCCATTTTATGTGCAATGTCGCACTTGTCACTGCAAAAGATTATTGATGCCGCCCATGCCCGCGCCCTTCGCACCAATGCTGCGACTCCGAAATAGACTTTCGAAAATTGACCTGACGGAAAGTGGTCGCAGATGACCTGCTGGGTCGTGAGGATGAGGTAGGATCAGACTCTTTGTATGTCTCACAGAGGTTTCTCGTGGGCAGCAGTTGGGACAGCCTCACCTATCGCCGATGGGTTGGAAAACGGGAGCACAGAGCATCCAAAGCTCGAGCCACACCCAAGAAAAGACTTGCAGAGAAGATGAAGTACTTCCAGAAGATGCGAAGATGCGAAGGCATGAAGAGATGTGGCATGCCAAAGGCCCTGTGGTGGAAGTGCAGTTAAACACATCGCATCGTGAAGTTCGTGAAGTGAGCTCTGGAGCTGAGATGCCATGACCGGCCGTTCTAGCTGCACTAGTGTTGGTTCTTTGGATGTTCCCACGGGGATCAACTCTAGTCATGTTGTTCTTTTGTGCCGGAAACAGAGATGCATGATGATGAATCCCCAGTTGTCCTCCCCATCCACGTCTCTTTAAGTAGGTGCATACTTCATCAAAACCATTTATTGAAGACGATTCAAGAGAGATTTGCTGGTGTTGTGTAGGGCCTGCATTTCTAGACCGAGCGGCAACAGGTACGAGAATCCTGACATTCCCGGCTGGGCCCGGTCTTCTCAGATTGATTTGCTCCGCAGGGGGTCAGGTCCGAAGGGCCAGAATTGAGTCAAAAGATGTCACTGGTTTCTCTCGGTGATTGCACCTTCGGATTCCAATCCGCTTGTTTATGCTTTGTGGCTTCCCTTTACAAATCCAGAGTCCTTGTAAAGCTACTCTGGGGAGCCCTAGTGTGCCAGCACATTTTGCTCTGAGACATTCGATTATTCCGAGCATTGGTTGGACGGACGAGGTGCTTTTCATGATTTGGCTCATGCCAAGCATTTCTTTCAATATCTTTTTCAGCTGATCACACCCACCCTTCCCGCATCTAGTGCCACCTGTCTCACAATCCGAATTCCTTCAGGGCGGTAGGGTGACTTCAAGCTACAGAGTTTGATTCAGTTCGACCAGGACAAGCTGCAAGCAGATGCAATCTAAGTGCCAAACACGTAATTTGAGCCTACAAGAAAGGATGTCTCTAAGTCTTATATAAGCTGAACTCCGGTGACAAACTAGAGGCCCCAACTGCACCAGTACAGCTGCAAGAAGTGCAAGACAGACGGTAGACTCGCACCAGTCGGACAAGATACGACAAGATTGAAAGAAGCACCACGCATCCTCTTTGCCAACAAAGAAACACATTTTTTCAATAAAGAAAAGGACCAAACCACCTGATGGTGATCCAAGTTTGCTTGCTTCATTGGGATGGACGGCCACAGGAGCTTTTGAGCCAGTCAGCAAAGCATGCATTGGAAGGGCCAGGTGCATCGAACATCAACCTGATAAGACGGGCACAACTGATTGAAATATCGGGCCTTTGAAGATTGTTTTCTTCAACCTTGCTCCAGGAACAAGGTTTGCTTTCGATATTAAGTGACTTCCAGTAGGTTCTGATATGTTCTGATGTACCAGATGGGTGGGTGAACCTTCGCGCCCCACTGAGGCCGGCTATGACCCGAAGAAGTGGGGTGGCTTGCTCTATCCCAATGAAATTGCTCGGGGCCCCACCTGTCCGACGGTGCACTGAGCCGGCGATCCGCGACTGCTGGCAAGTGGTCAAACCACTCACGCGTGTGATCAAATGATTTGTAGGCAAATATACTTTTGCATATAGTATGCAACTACTTTTGGAAAAGGGGACCTCGAGAACACGCAGTACATCCGAGCAGTTACTGCAAATCAATTCATGGAATGGTGACCCGGATCAGAAATTGTGTCTAGATGTGTATTGCGCATCCAACCAGGTTATGAATTCTCATGCATCCTTAGGGCAAGCAAGGCACTAGATGGCACTAGAGTCTAGAGAATTCTAGGCTTTTTTGCTGTGCCAAGAAGTCATTCCGCGTACGACATTTGCCCGACGACTTTTTTGCCGAAGATTCGAAAGAGCTCCCTGAGGGATATATATGCGGAAGAGGGAGATGTCGAAGGGACACCTGAAGAAACCGCTGGGTGACTTTCCCCAAGCTTTGGGGTTCCTTTGTCCACCAATACCGTTGCTTCAGCTCACAGGGTGTTGATGCATGTTTGAACAATTGATCACGAGGCCAGCGACTATGCCTTCCTGCCCTTCGGAGCAGGGCAGAGGGCCTCAGTGAAAGGTTGAAAGGAAGGTTTGGGCATGGCGTTGTTTGGATCGCCAAGGGCCCCAACTCTTTTCAACAAAGGATCAGTTTAGGCGACCAGTTTAGGCTCCAAAGACCGTGCTCGCCAACATGCATCCACCGCATGGGTCGTTGCACTCATTTCTGCAGGCCCCGCAAGTGCGTCGGGGACGTGTTTGCCATGTTGGAGGGCTGTCAGGGACCTTAGTGGAGTGAGTGTGGAAGGAACATGTTGGCTGCTTAGGAGCGAACAGAAGGGGACTTGGAGTCGAAGTTGGAGCGGGGTTTGGGGGTGCCCAGTGCGGTGCCCTGTTCATTGAAGGATATGTTCGCTGCTTTGCCAAAGATTTTGAACCGATCTGCACGGCAAAATGTGATTTGTATGTTTTTGCTCTTGGCAATTCTCCCTGGACCCCTGGATATTTTGAGTAAGACTTGTCACTCACACTCGACAGCAAAACCATAGACTGACATGCATGACAAAATCGACAAACATAGGAGCCAGACAGACATCTCTTTGTCAACCTGTTTACTGTTTTAAGTTTTTATAGTTTGGTATTCCGCCGGAATGCAGGGCCTTGACTCATAGCTTGACTGCCCATGAAAGCCACCCAGCGCCAGGTGTGACACTGGCCATGGTGGTCCGCAACTTCGACTTCTCGTGCCGGCCATAATTGGCCGTCGGACTAGTGCCGTTTTGGAGTGTTTGGTCGTTCGTGGCAAAGAACTGGCACTGATTCGGACAGAATGTCGCAGCACAACATCCATTGAGGAAGGATAGATACATGTTAGAAGGGCATGCTGTCGCTGCATGCATCCCAAATTCCTGTTCGTCCAGGTTCGCTGCACCCACGGCTGATCCCAGCCAGGCAAGTGGGGAGACTGGGCAGACCGTGCCGGCTGTGTTGTTTGGGGCAATGACCACAGAATACAATCTGACAGGAGTTTGCTTGCCCAAAACAGGGGGCTCGTTGTTTCATACAACCTGGAGGTTGCTTGCTGGCTTGGCTTGGCTTGGCTTGGCTTGGCTTGGCTTGGCTTGGCTTGGCTTGGCTTGGCTTGGCTTGCTTGCTTGCTTGCTTCCTTCCTTGCTTGCTTGCTTGCTTGGTTGCTTGCTTGCTTGCTTGCTTGCTTGCTTGCTCCGCTACCATATACAAGTACTCGCTTCCACTTGATCCCTATTCGCGACCCTCATCCTCATAGCTTGTTGCTCCCAGATTGTCTCCGGGATTGATGAGTGCGACTGGGAGTGTTGGACGAAATGCTGAAAAGCTCAGGTCGGAACCTGCACTGGAGCAACAATCCACACAAAGAGCCTTGGATGTTTTTTGGCTGTCGGAGAAGCTGCGCGATGTTTACGTTGGTTTCGAGTCAAGACTCTGCACACAACAGACCTGTGCGCTTGTTCTGTAAATCAATGAAGCCGCCAGTGTCAAAGCATGCGCCACAGATTGTATGGATTTTTCTGCTTGAGCATTTGGAGTTTTGGACCGTGGATTTGGTTTGTTCCGAGAGGCCTTTTTTTTGTGCCAAGGGAACACAGCGGGAGAATCAATGAACATGCTCAAGCTTGTAGATGATTCCTCATTTTTGGACTTCACGTAAGGAATGCAGCACTGTTACATTTGGCCATAACACTCGCTTTAGAACTTGTACAGCTAGTGTGTTGCTATGTTTCATTTGCGACTCAACCAGCCACTAGGAATGGCCTGTGGATGCAAGCTCATGAGAGAAAGCATTAGGGTGTCCGCGGCATTTTGGCGAGAGCCACATGAGGACTCCAAAGACCGCAGAAAACCTGTGATTCTATCCTGATCTGGTGGTGTAGTCGACAACTCGACAACCAGTAAACTCAGTCGACAATATATACAGAACTGTTGAGAGTTTCCTGCTACGTGTGAGGCCTCATGACTGGACACGATATTTTTTGAATCTCGTAGTCAGCGTGTGTACGCATCAAGGTCCTGGAGAAAATGAGCTACAGGTCATCAGAGGTCGAAAAGGCCGCAGGTTTGGGGATGATTCCGTACTTGGATCACCTTGGTCCATCATCACAGTTGGGAGGATCAGTCCCATGTGCAGCTCCTCATGGGCTTGGGATGCCATGCAGAACGCCAGTGTTCAATGGCCACCCTCAGGTCCCATTTGTCGGTAGGATTTAGACCTGATGAACAGATCACGCTTCAATAAAGACTGGACTTGTGCCGACCCACTCACTAGAGGTCGAGTGTGATGTTGGACCGTTGGACGTCAAAGTAGCATGGGGCAGGCCTGCCATGTATACACATGTTTCGCCACCAGAGTAGAGACAGATCAGCACAACAATGATTGCTGGACCGTTGATATCAAATCGAATCCGACTCTTGTGCTCAAGACCTACACTATAAATGGTCCTTTCTACAAGCAGTTCCCGGGCAAGCCGGCGGCGGAAGTTTCCTATAAGAACACATTGACCTATAGGAGTGTCCACGTTCTCTCCACCATGCGTGGAGATGAGTGGTGTATGCTGACTGGTGTATTCTTGACCAGCAGTTGAATGTCCTGTCCTGCATAACTGCAACCAAATACTATCAGTATGAACTGAACGTGCACGCCGCGAGAGATGACTCAGCAGCGAGAGATGACTCAGTCGCGAGAGATGACTCAGCAGCGAGAGATGAATGAGCAGCGAGAGATGACTCCTCCGCGTACTACACTGTTCGCCAGTACAACTCTAGTTGTACTACGAAGTCGC